GGATAATCGACCAGGTACCCAGGCTCGGTTTTCTCTCCCAGGAACCAGGACGACGTGAAAACGAGCTAACTCTTCGTAACTGCGTGCAGGTTCGACGGCACGTCCGCGATCAATGAGGCTCCCTCGCGGAATTCCCGGCGAAGAACTTCGGACCCCGTTTTCTCGGCAACTACTTTCGCGCCGAGTCATTACCCGACTTCGATTAAGCGCATACCATGACGGGTGTTCGGGGTCCGCTTCTTGCGCCAACTTTTGCCGTAACGAGCTCCGCCCCGGGAAAATCGCCTCCGATTTTACCACGACCCCGTCATAAAACCCAACACCCTGGGGCTGAAACAACGCGCAGCCCCGACATCGTTCCATAGGAGCAGTCCAGAGTTTACCTTCAAATCTCCCGGATTAATAAACGCCGATTAAACGCCTGACAATCTACCTCGCTGGCTCGAATTTATCCGAATGGGAACCTTACGCGTATATAGAAAAATCCGGGATAAAGCAATAAGTCGGGTTAAAGAACTCGGTTCTTGCTGCAACTTCGCGCGTAACGAGCAACGAGTAAAAAGTACTCCTTCGATTTTACCACGTCTTCGTCATAAAGTCTGGCGCCGAACTGCAGTAATGCTGCACTTCGGTTCAGACACTTATTAGACCGTCTCCGGAGTGCACCGAATATTAGTCGACCTGCATTATTTTGAAAATGCATTCAAATCGATTGCGGAAGCGACGAGGCGGTACATCGAGTACAAGTTAGAGATGTTCAACTAAATAATATATATTCGAGTTTCTTGAAAAAAAGCCTCGCCCTCCGTTATTTCGAGGTTAGGAGAGGTCAGGGGTTAGCTCGGGATCAGAGTCGCGGATTGTCTTGCATTTTGCAGATTGCAGTAGGCATGCATTTATGTATGCAATATCCCGTCCTCTTCTAACTCCGGTTATAATTTATCATAAGGCGCCCTAACTTCGCTTTCGAACTCGAGGAGGATCCAATTTCGGGGAGGCGCGACATCTTCCCTGGAGGGACAAAGCGAATCCCTGGCAAGTTTTATGCACCGCTTTGGATCCGTAATGGCCGGACGCATAAACGGCCAACGATGGAGGGCGTCCTGGAATCGAACGCACTCTTCCCCTGATGGTCTTCGCCGCTCGATGGCGAACACCGGTGCTTCCGGCCTGATGGGATTCTCGAGGGGTATGGGGCTGATGGCCAGCACTTTCGTCGCTTGTACGACGTGCCAGGATGGAGATTTAAATCTCCCGCGGGGTGCAGGATGGTCGAGGGATCGCGACTCGATCTGGACCGGGATCAACAGTTCGGTGGTCGGGATCGTATTAATTTTAACATTAATCATAGGGATTTTTTAGGGAAGATAGGACGGTGATATCTTTCGGGTCGATGAAAAGTGTCAGCTCGTAAGCCGCAGCCGCACGTCGGCCGGTGGAAGACCGTAATTCCCGGATCGGGGACCGGCATCCGTCAAATCTGACGTTTGTCGAGCATCGGTAATTCCGAAACGATACGGCCGACGTATCGGCAGCGGCAAGCTCCGGTGGCGGCGCAATCCGTCCCCGGTATTACCGATAACCAATCGGCCGGTGGCGCGATCCACATCCTACACGGTTTAGGAATTGAATTTTCAATTCGCTTTGCATAGCGCGTCGGTCTCCGGGGATGAACGCGGCCGGCAATAACCGTTCGGATTTGCCTCCTCCAGGAGGAAGGAGAAGAGGAGAGCCCCGACGCGGTCAATTGTCCGTGGCCATGGCCGTCCATCCACTAATGGATCGTACCCCGACCACGGGAGAGCCTGGATCCACCCCACGTCCCTGGAAACCCCGAAACCTTGATCCCGAGTGTCGAACCGTGAACCGCGTTGGACGGACCTCGGGTTTGCTCGGTTCGGACTTGAAATGGGCGTGATGCCGCATACTGAACGATCCCCGATCTATCGGGAGGAAAGACATTGGCTTGACGTGCCACTTCGCGTTACCAAGGTTCAGGGTCGGAAATATTCGAATCCTGGAGAGTGGGCTGGAAAATATACCTCAGAGATGGAGGAAAGAAGAGCTACGGAGTCATCGATGATTACCATTGATAACTTATTGGACGGGATGTGGGAGATAACAACGGATTCCGCCAGCTCCCGGTAATCCATGGAACCCTTCCGACTAGGTTAAAGGGAGCTTTCAAGCCCAAAGCATTCCGCGTTGCCAACAATCGAGGGGTGGAAAAACCCGACGGCAAACGTTTCAAAATCGAGTTTTTCATCCAAATGGCCGTACCTTTGGTACGCGCCACCGCTTTTGAAAGGAGAAATTGGATTTCCCTCATCTCTGCCACTTTGCCGGGTGATTTCCAGCCCTAGAAATTCTCTCGCTCGTCTCGATTTTTCCGGCTCGTTTGTTGCGCTCCCCGTCGCGACGCCATCGGCACAAATGAAAAATAGGCATCATTCGAGTTACTCTTCCAAACGGCGAGGAAGAGGTCCCTCGACGAAAATCAATCCCTCACGTTCCTGGGCCAGGAGGTTAAATAACCAGCGATAATCGCCCAACTTCGTCCTAGAGGACGTGGAGTTTTCGATTAACGCTTTCCGCGACAATGCGCCCAAAAAGCTCCCTTTTGTGATAACTTTCCCCGGGGTAAAGGCGGTTTTAAAATCTCCGCGGACGGTACCGCGTTTCGCAGGCAATTTTTCAAAGTGATTCCGCGCCCCATCCTTCGGCTCCGGCGCCCCGCTAAAAAAGTGAGGTGTTAAGCTTTTCATGCGCGTCTCCCGCAATTTAGAAGCCGGCGCTCGTTACTCCCCGCATCTGCGGCAACAATTTTCCCGGGGACATTTTAAATCGACGGTGCCTCGCTGAAAATACGAGCTCACGCGTTTTTCCGGCTCGAGCTTTTCCCCGGGCCGGATGGCGCCGATAATTCCGCGATCTCGATAAGTCGTTAACGACGTTTGCCACGACAAGGCGGCCGAGTTTGCGATTTATCGAGGCGTGGGTCATGTCGGCTCGACGAGCCGGAAGTATTAGAGCCGTAGAAATTTGTCGAGCTGCCTCGGACACGACGCGGGACTCCGTTCAAATTTACAGGAACGACTGGACGAGTTAAACGCGACCGATGACGAACACAGTTTCACGATTTCTCGTCACCAACAATCGTCATTCCTCGAATATACCCTCGACGAAGTTTGGGGCATTCCGTGGACGGAATATCGTCGATGGCATCCTCGGCGGGACCAACTGCTCACCCGGTGCTCTAATTCCCGTTGAAGAGCAATCAAGGAATCGCGCCCACGGCAAAAGTTGAACGTCTTCGTTTTCAAGGGGACCGGCAAACTTTCCGGAAACTTTCCACCAAGGGATGTAATCCCATCTCCGGAATACATAGATCGGCTTAAGTATTTAACCAATGTTCCGGCAAAGCCGAGTTATGCCCTCGAAACTTCCGAAAGCCCCATTGACGCATTTATCATTCGCCGAAGTTGAAGTTTGTCGCAACCTATCTTCCTATTCCGAATCGATGGAGGCACAATTGCTAAAAATTCTTAAAAAACGATAAATAACCCGGATGTATACGACCTGGAAATTAGCGATACCATTTCTGGGGACTTCGTGAGGGTTTTCACGTATTCACCTCGTGACGAAAATACGTCAATCCATATCGAACGGTCTGATAATGTCACGTCATAATATTAAGTCGTCGGAAATGCGTCCATTAGCGGATTCGTCCAATTTCGATAAAATGATAAATTGGGCCATATCCCGATGACAAATGAATTACTCGTGAAGCTTCGCGGATATCCTGCATTTTCTACACCGTGTTGTGGGCAAAAAGTCCACGGGCCGATTCCGATTATCGAATGTATATTCGCGTAACACAATCGCGAAAAATATCACTCCGACTCGGATTCGAAGCCCGATCCTCGATATATCTCGTATCGATACACTATCGGTTAAGCCACCGCGGCTTTGCCGATACTCCATCATTTCTCCCATACACAAACAGGGAAATTGACAAAGGGAGTGAAAAATAAAAGCGAATATTCATTCGACACTCGACCCGGCATAATCCAGAATCTGCCGGAAGGAAAGGAAATTAATAAAAATCAAATCGATGATCCTCGAAGCGGAACGACGGTGAAAAAAAAAAAAGAAAAAATGAAAACAGGCAAAAATAGCGGCTCGATTTAAAGCCAGTCGTATAAATCTGAATTCGGTCGTTAAAAGTCCATATCAAGCAGCCTAATTGTACGCGTAAAAGTGCATTAATGATCGGTTACGCGGGAACAACAACCGGTGCGTTAACGGAACGACGGAAGTTGCAAATCGCCGTTAATTGAACACAACTGGGACCTAACGAAGGAATTAACGTTTGCCATGGCGGCCGTAGGAGCGCGATGTAGAAACTGGAGCTGCCCGTTAATTTTACGAGTTTCCACACTTTTAACTACGGTTCTAAAAGTTCAGTCCAAGGGATAAAGGAGGGACCGGAAGCGCGGTTAAATGTCCATAGAAGGAAGTTTCGCATTCACGGTTCATCGACGAAAAGGTCGGCCAATAAAACCAATTCCCCGTTAGACTCTTAACGCGGTTACGCCAAATGAACGGCCGTCTGGACCAAATTTCATGGTGAAAACGTTCATAAGTTCGCTACTTGGGGGGTGACTCGCAGAAAGGAAGATCAGAAGTTCAGAAGTTAAGTATCCAAAAAAAGGCGCAAATCGCTTCGGCATTTCATCCCCAGCGGAGAAAATAAACACTCCCCCAGGTATCACCCTAAAGAACGAATTCCACCCCCGGGACGACCACCGCCGCCAAGTCCCAACAATCCACGAGGCACCGATCCGGATAGTCGGATGAACCGGACAGGTGTCCAATTACCGGGAGGTCCCGTCATACCCGGGGAACAAAAACCCCCGGCGAAGGGTTGGACCGGCTCCGGGTGCCGTTCCCTAATTCCGCCCCCGGGCGCAGTCGGCAAAGGAACAAAGGAGACTCACCGATAGTCGAGCGGGCCTGGGGCTGGACGACGGGATTATTGTTGGCCTCGGCAGGTGCGGGAAGCGGCCGCTCGGCCGCGGTCGCGGTCGCAGTCGCAGCCGCAGTCGCAGCCGCGGCGACGGCGGGAACGGAGCACGCCGAGTTGGAGGAGTTGGCCGGCTTTGAAGCCCAGGAGCTGCAGGTGTCGCAGCCCTCCGCCGAGCGGGTCGACAGCCTGCAGCAGGACCACCGTTTTCCGCTCCAGAGGCCCGCGTGGTATCGTCCGCTCAGCCCGGGGTTCTCGCTGCACACTGCAACAATAATTTTTTTTTTCCCTTATTAACTTCAACTTACATTCTCTAAAATCTATCCTGTACTATTAAATAAAATATTGTGACGTTGTAATAGCCCGTGGTACTCGATACCCCCTACGACAATCATTTTGTTTCTTGAAAATCCTGTACGAGGGTACAGGGTCGATTATATCGCACTCGATAGCACGAAGCAGTCCCTTTCGACAAAAGACCCTTGATGTCATTTGCAGCCGAGGTTGGGTATAATCCTCGATAAAAAATGACATCTCGGGTCGTCTCCGTCGCAAGTGGCAATATCAATATAAAGTAATGGAAGACGATCTGACCTGCTGACTCGGTCGGGCGACATAACGCGCTGAAATTTACAACTGAAGCTTCCGGATTTCATAAAAATGAGCTCGCCCTGAAAACGGCAGCGGGATATACGAGGCCGTATAGGACAAAGCCAATATTAGATCGCGACACGTGGCGTTATGAAAGTCAGCTGAAAATTTTATTCCCGGCTGGGAGAGGTCCGAGGGAGTCGGAAAATCCAGTCCTTCGGGAAGTGGCTTTTCGCGGGACGGCTTCGTTTATCGGGAAATCGCGAATGAAATCCGACTTCCGGTGGATGCGAGGCCGTGATATGTATGGAAAATGCGCCGATAAATCGGCGCTCCCATTTCTGATATCGCGGATCTCGACCTCGTCTTGAAACGGCGATCCGATTTGCATCCCTCGAATTGGGCAGTTCGCTGCAATTTTCCGAGGCGAATTTTCACCTCTCCAAGTAGAGCCGGAAACGTCATTCCCTGTCTTTTGACAAGGTTATCGGGTCTATCGAAGTGGAATTTCTTTAGCCACTGCGGGACTTGGAAATCGGGATGAAACGAAACTCCGCATAGAAATAATTTTCATGTTCATGTTATACTCGAATTAGTGACCTATTTCACGTCACCCTAAACGTGCGTTACGTTTTCCTCCTTTTATACATTTTCGTTCCTTTCGTATATTTATTTTTTCGAGCAGCGGTTCGGTTCATCCAGCAAGGGCATGTGACGTTATTCGGTGTCTTTTGACGGGAGAAGTCGAAGTTCAAAGCGAGAATCCCATCAAAGAAGACACTCGAAATCCGCGCCATTACTACGGTACACCCCATCAACGCCATCAACTCCGGTGATTGTGGACCCATTGAGTTCTTCGCATTACCCGACGCATTAAGAACATTAAACACGGTTTTCCCTCCGGAGTAACGAAGAAGACGAAAGGGCATCCCCCGCACCTCGATCCCGTGTCTTTTGACAAATCCTCCAAGAGCGCGTCTCTCGACTCCACTCGAGGTTCAAAGTGAGCATCCGTCAAACACAACGCTTTCAAAATTCCGCCCCATTGATACGCGACGTAATCCAGCCGCGCAAAAGATCCCATTCTACGTCACCACTTTGCCCCATCCCTCGACATTCTCAAGGCGTTACGAAAAGGGTCCCATGGATAAATCGAAACGTCAAAATATTGACACTTCGGCACGAGGCCACGAAGACTCTAAGGGAGAACGTCATGCTCGTGAAACGTCACTTCTCGAAAAACCATTTCAAACTACTATGAAAAAATCCCCGTCATTGTCTTGCGAGGAAGTACCATATCTACTTAATCTCAGACGTGTCTTGATCTCCCTGCAATTTCAAAGTCACTCGCAAAAACCTATCCCTTTCCCCAGTGCCCGTCTTATTCCCGAGGAGAGGTTCGGTATCTTTCGACAAAGTCAAAAGAAGTGCGTCTCGCGATTTACCGGCAAAGTCGGAACACTCGAAGGAGCCCCTTTTACCCGGGGGTTGGGATGCACTCACGGGGAGCATCTTCGTGTCTGGCTTCCTTCGTTCCTGAAATACTTTTCGGATGACTGGCGTCGCGATGCTGCGAGTCGCAGCGCGCGGATTCGCCGCATCCCGCGGCGTTATTCATCCCGCTCGTTATTCACGCCGCGGTGTTTCGAGAAAATGCTTCCCGGCGTGAATGCACCCCTCGCGATCCCTGACGTTCTGCCAGGGACGTTAGGATTTAAATCGTCGATCCTTGAGCCGAGTAAATCACTCGGCTCGAAATCCCCTCTGCGAGCGCGCGGCTTAATCGCGAAAGTGTCTCTTTCACCGATAACAACCGTCCTCCTCGATAATAAGTGTCATCTCGACCGAGGACAATTCAGACGAGTTATTTCGGATTGCTCGCCAAATATGGATCGAGCCTGAAATGCGATCCACGTGGGGAGAAAAAATCCCCCGGCGCACCGAGAGCAAAACATTCAATGAACCATAGAAACATTTCTTCGAGCACTACCAAAGAAATGATTTCATTCGAGGGATAATGATTTTTCGAAGGCACGTATCTTATAGAAGATAGATATTGATTAATGACGATTTCATAAAATGACTCCCAGTTTTTTAATCCGGAGACATCTTTAATTTGGCAGGATTTGGGGACGCTTTATTGAATTTTCCGCGAACGTTCGCTCACCGGGATAAGCCCATACAGGAAACGCGGTTTCCATTCCGGGGCCGAAAGATCCAGGATGCGGTCTGGGGTTTTACTTTCCAGCTTTCAATAGGACGGCTCGATAGTGTACCAGAGCAGAAAAAAAAAATAATAAAAAGGTCCACGAGAAATCCAACGATATTGCGAGATAAAATAGGACAATGTAAGGCATCCCTTTGTGTAGTTACGTGCATCGAGTAATATTGATGAAGACCGCCTATATTTATTACAGTCCACGTAATACTTCTAAAATAAACATTACAAGGTACATTCGAGGAATACCGACCAGGATTAAATTTTTTTCCTAATTTTGATGCTGCATATATTTAAATTACAATAAAGTCGAGTGAATTTAGAAGAAAAAAAAAAAATGATTTGTACCACTTTCGTAATTACAGGCACACGTGTTAATTTAATATACAGGACATGGGGTAAATGATACCAATTTAGGGTGAGCTCGATTTCATTAAGTCGGGCTCCTGGATCGAATCCAATTTCGGTGCAGCGGTTCGCATCAATCGTTGATAAGACATACTCGTTCCCCTCGAAATTTCAGTTTAATAACGCTTGTACAGGAAACTCTAACGAAGGGAATCGCGTGCCAAATTACCGAACCAGTGGCCGGGCGAAACGGGGGCGAAATTACTCCCCGGGGGCACTTCAATTATTTCAACGTTCAGTTGGGGAGCTTCAAGACCCGTTGCAATAAGAAAACCTTTCAATGAAGATTCACTTGACTCGAACCGGCTCGGCTCGGGAATTAGCGAAGCGAGATTTAACAACCCCCGGTCCTGCTATTTGCAATCAATTTTACCAATCGAATGTGAACGGCGCCCTTGCGAAATATCGCATTCCGCATTTAATTGGAAAAATTAAACAACTTCGTTTGTCCCGAAAATACCGCGTTCGCGTTCTACCTCCACCCTGCCCCCGTGATGCCGACGTTGCGACACACGAGGGATCAAAGAAAAATCGAAGCCTCCTCGAATTTAATGTATACGATATATAAAAATGTTACATTTAAATTGACACCACTTTTACATCCCCTTGAGACGAAGATCGTGTTTGATCATCAGGAGGAACGATCATTTTGCATAAATCATGGCTTCGCGTCGAAGCATCGGCATCGCCATGTTGGAAAGCGGTGAAAAATGGAGAAGACTCGTTATTTCCGTCGAACGTTTTTCAGCCATATAGGTAACCCTTCCGGTGGGGAGGCACGTTTCCAGGAGGTCGAGCCGAAGCCCCGGAAAACACGTAGCCCCAAAATGGAGCGGGCAAAAGTGTATCAAGTCCGCAACAAAACCCGGCACTACAATGGCGCGATCGCGGGAGCGTAAAGCTCCGCTTCGGATCTTATTCCGGGCATTGTGTAAACGAGCTTAACCAAATAGAAAGTCGGACAGGCAAGACCACCCACGACTTAGTGGATATACTTAATGGTACCTCTGAAAGGTATATTTACGAGAATCTTGATACCACTCGCCAGAGGTGCCCCGGCTAAATCCCATAAAACAGCGGGGTCGAGCTTTCATGCCTAGAAATTCACAAGTTCGTCCCGTTCCACGATTCCCTGGCACCGAATGAATTTAAATGAAACGCGATAAGGAAAATCATCTGGCATAGGTGCCTAATGAAATTTTGTTCCCACCGAAAAATCGCAAAATTTCAAAATGGAACCGGAGAACCCTCGAGATTCATCCCCGAAGAAGCTTTTCTTAGGGTCTTCAGCCCAGCCAAAAAATGTCAGCATGGTGTTGGCCCCGCAATCTGGATCGACGATCTCCCGTGTTTCCGTCGTCATTATCGGGGATGAAAACGAGTTCCCCCTTTCAGAGTTTTCCGCATTGCGAGGCCTGGTGGAGAACGGTTCCTCCACCCTGGTTCTTAAGGCGGCCCTCTTCTCGAAGACGGTCCGCGGATGAATGGTCTTTCAGGACTCCCTAGAGGGTCGACCCTCGTTTTCCCCGGCGTGCATTTAAAAATTCGCTCTTTCGTAACACGGCTGGTCCATCTAGTCCGCGACTTTGCCAATGCGCCGCCATTATGGAGAGCGCTCCTTCGCGGCAGACTACCTTTCAAAGGCGCCGTTTTCTCTTTCGCCCTTCGACCCTTTTTTCACTCCGCTGGTCTACCGAGAGCTTGCATCCCCTCTACACCTGACCTGCACCGAAGTAGCTTAATTCCTGTCCTTGATAATATTGCACGCCCAGGCAATTGGGATCTCCAAAATGTCGCTTGTCTCGATGGACGGAAAAAAGAAGTTTCCACTTTTAAGGAGACGTGAGTGATGTCCGAATTAAATTATTTTTCTACACGCGAGGACGAATTGCTCGTGTCTAAAAATGTGATAATAAACCGATCTTTTATTTTGGATCATGAAAGTTGGGAGGAAGAGCCTTAAAGGGTGAAAAACTCCACCCTGAACAGGGTGCGCTCTCGTAAGGTAAAACGTGTTGTAATCGTAACAAGAATCGTCGGGTCACCACTTCCAACGGCAGTAACAATAACAACGCGAATAGCTGGAGATAACTTGTACTTCTTTTCGCACCTTCTATCGTTAAACCTACAACAGTCGGAGGTAAGGACGCAAAACGTAAACCCGCGTGTAAAAATTACCACGGCGTTCCCTTCTATCGTGACTGTAAACGTTACAGTCTGCCCGTCGTAACAAAAACGGCTCCCTGGCACTTCTTGCCTAGATCCACTCCACCTTTCCAGAATACTATCGATAAGTCTACAAAACTCGAATGTCCGCCACGGGAAAGAAAATTTCATTGAACATGTTTTTCCGAACAGTACCGAAATTGAAATTTTACCACGTGCTTACGGAGGCACCAAGAAAGGTCTCGACGCCCTTAAAATTCCATTTTAATGTTCCCCCTCCACCGAGAACATTTCAATCACAGTTCGTTTAGTTGGGGCAACTAGAAAACGGGATAAAAAAGAAAAGGGGAAGAGAATCTCTCGGAGCCACTAAACGCGCCATGTTTCGCGAAAGCCAAAGGCGGCCGATTGTTTCCCCCTTTCAGCGTTAATAATGCGTTTGATTAAAAAAGTATCCCGCCATCCGACCCGAGGAGTCGGACACGGGCTTTATCAAAACACCGTGGCAGGACGTCGGCATTAAAAAGCAAGCAATTCGAGATAGCTAATTACAAAACGAGCATTCCCGGTACGTGACGCGGAAACTTCGCCCTCCTCTCCCGCCCCTGAAGTTAATAACGAGGATGCGAGCCTGGAGGCTCTTTGCCCTCTTTCGAGATGAAATGACATCTCACAGGACCCCCGCCGACTTCTGCGACAATAAGGATCTCGGATTGATGTCAAAGGGTGCGCCAAAGGACATCCGGCTATAACCGGGCGTAATTATCCGAGCATTGCGTGCGCATGAAATATTCATGAAACGCCTCTCGTTGCCTCGCGGGGTGGGGGGTTGCTACCTTTTCCCTCGTTACTAATTCCTTTTTCATTTTGCCTCCTCTGTTTCGCTTTCATTCCACCGCCCGGCGTTTTAAGGCGATATGAAAATGCCGTCTCGGTTATGAAACATTTTCTCGAACCGAGTGCACCGAATCCCTTGGTACTTTAATACGTAATTGTGAATGTTGGATTTGAAAATTCTTGGCAGGACCCTAATACCGATGAAGTTTCATTTTGTTTTCCGGCGAAATCAATTTCGATAAGGAGCTTCGACAACTATCAGTCGTTGATCCCACGTGACGAAGGAATTCCCCGGAAGCGGAAGTCCTTCCCAGGACCCTCGGTCACTCTCTGGACCGGGATGCTGCGTGGGTCCGTGTATTTCCGCATATCCCGACGCGATCCCCAAGGAATCCCGGCGTTCCTACATGATCTCATTCCCGGATGACGGTGTCCCAAGTTTCGCAGGAAATGGAGTCCCATAGGAGCTCATTTAAGTTCCCGTGATCGCGGGAGAGAGCATTTCCATTCTGCCCTCGTCCGAGCCAGATCTCTTCCAATTTATGTCGGACGTAAACGGCCTACGAGATGATTGAAATCCCTCTCCTCTCCTAGGCATGAACGTTGCAAAACTCCGAGCGAAAAATCCAGACAAAGAAATTCTCGATTGCAAAATTCGAGGGGAAAAAAAAAGACTCCCCAGGAATTATGGACGTCGAAAAAGTCCACTGGGTCTTTGGACCGGTCCAAGTGAATCGCTCCCTAATTTTCTATGACCAAAGTGATTCCCTTCGTTATTTCCCAGTCGTGTCGCTTCTCCCTTTTTTCTCTCCCTCGCGAACATTTAAAACGAGCCGTTTGCATTAATCACGGCGAAATGAAGTCGAGGCTCGGGATGACAAAGGCGAACTGCTCGTTGAGCACCGTTGAGACAGGAATTAGGGAAAAGAATCCGAGGGATCTGTCCATTGGCTGGTCGACTCTCTTTGCAAAAAGGTTGACGAATGAGCCGCTTTAGAGGGACTTCGGAGAATCACCGAGAGCAAAAAGTTGCAGGGACCACCTTATCGGATAAAAATATCCCAGGGTCTTCAGGGTCCACCGAGGAGGTGTAGGGATCCTTCTAGGACTTCTGCCGGTAATTAATAATACCTCGCGACCTCTAATCAATTTTCTTCCAGCTACGAGGAAATCCACTAAGAAGCAACACCAAGTCATCGTCGCCCTCTAAACAACCCTAACGATGCAAACTCAGGAACAAAGTGGTACTCCTTTCAGCGTATACCCACGACATGATTTTACGTCCAGCCGACTAACGACGATTTTGACCAACGCCGAGAAAATTGATCGCAAACGAGAAGAAATTGTCTCCTAGAAATGGCGTCGGCAGCGAGGATTCCAGGAATCGATCGGCTGATGGAAACGACTTTCGCGGTTCCACGTAGTCCCCACCTACGCACCTACAAAGACACCTGGGAGTTCACCTACACCCTTCCTATGCCTTGGTTAGGTCGCAGCAACTTTCCCATTCCGCGTTCTTGTCGCGCCATGCGTTATCCCTGAATTTTTCCACCTTGTTGCGGTTATCTGGCCCGTTTACGTCCGGCATGATTTATCTTGCTCCAGAGTGTCCGAACCTCGGTGACATTAAGGTGACGCGAAAGTGACGTCAAAGAGAGGCCTCGTTAGATTTTCTCCTAACCGGGTTATATACCGAATCGTTCGCAAAGTGGAGATTAAGAATAAGATATCGGATGGAAACGAGAAAATCTAATGTCACTGCTGGAGGCCGTAAATTTACACCGAGGTATTAAAATAACGAAATCGGGACATTGTCTCTGGTAGTACGGATTTGAATCGGTAGTTGAAACGTACAGTGGCGGACACGAATGCCTTCCCTGCAGACGTGGTCGCCAAGACCCGATGGGAGGGCATTTACGTCCACCAGGGTACTCTCCACCCTCGACAATGAATGTTACCGGTGGCACGGGGCGAATCCGATTTGCCTCAAGTTCCCTCCTGTTGCCAACATCGGGGAACAGTCATGAAATCAGTCCGACCTACCCGTCGAAACCTCGGACTATCGTGCAAACTCTCCCCCGCTAAGGGGAAGTTTCGACGGCATATCGGGGGTCAATTATCGAAACCACCGCACTTGGGAACAAGAACGCCGATGGACACGCGCGACAATTCCTGCGACAGTTACCACCGGAGTTGGGAAGGAATTCCGAACGGGCGCCAGAATTTCCTCCGTCCTCCGTCCCTATCTATTCGGTGATAACACGGTTTCGCGATAACCATAAAAAAAGAAATCCTCAACCTCTTAAAGAGGGATGCATCTTCGAGGCTCTAATTAATGAACATCGAGCCGATATCCTCTCAAGTCGACCCGATACCGCCTGAAAGAATTCTCAGCTCCCGAGCGGTGGGTATTTCACGGCTAATAATTAGTTATCGATTATTAATTGATCCCGGTGCGTGTCCCAGATGTAAGGGATGCGGATCGCGTCCCGGTGAAAAGCCGACCCGTAATTTTACGATCTAATAAAGTCACGTCAATGGGAGACGTCCTCGTTCGTTCCAGTTCGCGGTTCCCACCCACCTCGCCCCTTGGTAATTGAAAATGATGGACACTTCCGCGGAGAAAGAGGATCCCCCGTGATTGGAGGGTACGGAAAAGGTCCTTTAAGAGCCGCGGGGCCCTTAAAAGTCGGAGAACCGCGCGCGAGTCGCGTTAATGGTCCCAAAGTGCCTCGCCATTGGTCGCGGCCGTAATCGCCGGAAGAATGGCCCTCGTAAACGTAATTCCGATCTCCCGGCGATTGTGCGATCCGACATGCCCCCGTTTTCCTGCCTTGCAACCTCAAAGTCCCTTTTTCCTATTTTCTTCTCCCGCTTCTCCCAGGGGCTGAGTACAAATTTCGTTTTCACGCGATTTCCCGCAATCTTGACATTTGAAAATAGAACAATCTCCAAGAGAATTGCGATACACATTTTTGCAGTGAGATCGAAAAAATGCAGGAAAATGGGACGAAGAGGTTCCCCACACGGGACTGGAATTCGAGAGCAGCCAATCCGATAGCCTAAGGTGATCAGATCCCCCGGAATGCAATATTCGCTTAGCCCAAGTAAACCGCAATTACCCGTAGTAGGTACATTGGAAATCGCCTAATGCGAGCCTAATGCTCCGCTATAATAACCCGGCCTTCGACTCCGGACAGTCGCCAACAATGGAATCGGCAACAATCTTCGATGCGCCTCCACTACCATCGCGTTAAACCGACTTAAAATCGAGCAAACGTTATCAACCGCGTTATCGGGGGGTGAGCCGATTCCATCATTTTGGAAGCACCCTTCCACATCATACGCAGCCTGTACATAATCTATTTGGGTACGATTTCCCCACCAAGGCGACGTAACCTTAATCGTCTCTCCCCGTTGGAGAGGCCGCAGGACCCGAAACTCATGGGCACAGTCCTCCCTCCGGAAGAGGATGTTTCCAGGTCCTGGGGAGGGATGAAAATGGAAAAGCAAATTCGACTCACCAGCCCTGATGGCGCGGATCCACTCGGCGCGGTCCTGTTCGCGGGGGGCCAGGAGGTAGAGGGTGTACTCCTGGCCGGCCTCGCGGTACCCCACCTGGAAGGGGAGGCCCGGGGGTATTCCACCCCCTCCCCCGGTCCCCGCCTCGCCCCCGGCCACGTCGCCGCCCCCGCCCCCGGCCCTGGCCCCGAGAGTCGCCGTCTCCACCACGTGCACGCTCTCGATGGCTATGCGGCCCCTCTCCTTGCGGCGCTGCAATTGCAAGCACGGGCACTCGTTAATTTTTATTCGTCACATCGCATTCTTACACCGAGGAAGGTAAAATATTCATTTACCCGAAGAGATGTATCCCTCACTCGAGGTATAATTACGTGGCTTAAATAAGTTGTCACGATTCTTTGGCGCGCATGTGCATGCAAATCAACTCCGCCCGAATTGAAGAGAAGAGCTACGTTCTCCATAAAGTCGAAGGACTGGCGGCCAACTTCGGCGCACAAGTAAATCGGGGAGCGAATCAAAAAGTTCCCGGAAAAAGCCCCATCTAATCCCGGGGAAACTCCGCCGGGAACTTTTTCATTCGCCCTCGTATCTCACGCGACGAGTCGTGCGTCCTCGCGCGCCATGTTCCAACTCGGGGATTCATTAAAAAAAATCTCTCATGAAAGATGCCCACTACTATTTAAATTTGTTTATAAGCAAATTTTTATACAAACGTTGAGATATTACGAGTGTTAGGGCCTCCCCTAGGGCGAATGATCGGAATTAAAAATGGGATGATGGTCCTAAGTTTCGGTGTCAAGGGGCTGTTCACGTCACGCTGTGCCAAGGGGCGCGTCTTTTGACGTTGTCTTAAGGCAGTTCTCACAAAGGCATTAACCGGACAAGGATCTAATTCAGCACTTCAGACAAGAGGGGAGGCGTCGCGCCGAACTCGCGCGAACTTCCTAATTAGCGAACATTTCACTTTGCTCCCCTCCCAGGGGGGTTAGACGTGGGAACCTGCTCCTCTTCCCACGATATTAAATAAAGGACCGCGTCCCAGGAATTTTCCGTAAAATATGGGGGGTCGTACCCCCTCCAACCCCACAAGATGCAGTGGAAACTGCATTCCTCCTTTCCCTTGCCGAAATTGAAATTCCATCTACGAACCCATACCCCAGACGAGCGAGATCAAGATCTTAACATTTTCCACCGACATCGATTTAAATCCACCGAGGATAATTTTTTCTTATTAAAAAATGAAATCCCACGGATGTCGATAAAAAGAGATCGGGGCCGTAACGTGGACGTCGCCCTCGGTGGGCATTGTTGCGTTTTCGGGAGAAAAAGCTCCACTCGATGATATGTCGGTCGAAACTTCCCATTGACTTTTGCCTAACACGAGGAAGGACGCTTTTCTTTTTTTTTTCTCCTTTCCCCGCATTTTCCGGCATTGTACGACGACGGCGATTGGGCCCTTCGAGGCATTCCATTTAACGTCGGCAGACGAGGCCGTGATCAAAGTGAACAATATCCTTCTTCCTCCTTTTGCGGGAAACAAGGGACGTCCTTTCGCCCATTATCCCGGAAATGGGGACCGACGAAATAATGGCGATCGACGCCGGGACGTTTCGCGTTTCACGGGAAGAGAAATCGACTAATCTCGCGGATTTCAATCTAGCACCGACGAAATAGAATACACTGATAATCGGATTATCAGAATTAAATATTTCCCTCCAAGCAGCCTCGACTTTATCCTGGGAAGAAAAAAAAAAGAAGAGAAAAGGGAAGAAGTCCGGACGAGCGCGCTGCCCTTCTCGTTTAATTATTAAAAATTTCCCTGGCATCCTTAAAAATCCACAAGAAAGGTCTAGGAGGAGAGGGCACAGCTGATGGGAAATCAAGAGGATAAGAAACGATTCCCCGATAGCGAAGCTCGACAAAGGACATCGATCTTCCCGGAGGTGGACCAAAACGAGCGCGATGAAGAACGATGCCTCGTCCCTAATGGATGGCGACGCATCGCTGCAGTTTTATTCCGGTGCATCCTCGACGTGATCCACATCCCGGTGCCAACACTTCCCAGGAGACGTGGTCTCCGAAATAAATTTACGGCGACGTGACGTCGCCATCCGGGGTAAACTCGCGACGACGTCCCTCCGCTTCCGTAAACCCCGAGTTGGCTGACTCTAACCTGCAAAACCTGGACGACTTTTCCCCCCTGAACGATATTCCTCCGGGATATAATTACCTACTCGATGCAAAACGATTTTGCTCATCGCTACTCCGAAGTAGAGTACGAGGAGTCATCCGAGTTCCTCAGAAATTGACGATCTCAGTCGCGAGGTTTTTTTCCCACTGCAAAACCAAGGCCCATATTTTTTTCCCCCTTTTTCCAAGCCCAAGATCGATTTTGTTCATCCCACTGTCGGACGCCTGGCAACGAGACATACGCCCAGCCTCCGCAAATGAACCCGTACCTGTCCCCCAAATGCCGACACTCGACCGCAGACCGGAATGAACATACAATAATGTCACGGCAAGTTGTTCTAATGACCGAGCCATCAAGTCCCGGGACCAAACGCTAGGACGCATTCCCAGACATTTTGGATCCAGGAACCCTACAGGACCCGGCGCCCCGGACTATTTGTATCCCGTCCAAGTCATTAGGAACAAATTAAGGCCTTCCCTTCCCAAACGCTGCCTGATATTAGACATAAGTATGCAAGGACATGCCGTTGTCCTCGCCTGGAAGCTCTAATGGCAGAGTCGAGCCCCGAAACTTGGACAATTTCGAGGATCGAACTTTACCATGCCCCGAGTAGCCCGATAATATCAGATAGAAAGCCAAGGGATGGGATTAGAATCCTTTGATCGAAATCGAGGATCTCAATGGTGATAAGCTAATGATATGTTCGCGTCTCAACAAAGAGCGAACACTGGGCCAACACGAGGCTCTAATGTAGCCGGTGTTTTTCTTGGCGAGGGCGACGGCACAGGGCCGAGGATGGTTAGGAGGTTTGCTCGTTATTCGAGTTTCGAGCCAAGTGTCGCAAAGGCGGTAATTATGGCCCTAGGGTCTCGCTCGGGGCGAAGTACGTCCCTCGTGAAACTCGGGGAATAATAGGGCCGTAAAGGGCTAGGGAAAATATTCCGCTACTCGTCTCGACGACGAGTCTCGACCTCTGCGACGAGACTTTCGTCCCACCTTAAGCGTCCCGAATGGGTGACAACGAATAGTTCAGTCACTTCGACGGAGCGTCTCGAAGGCCCGGGAGACATTTTGCCGATACGGAGGCCAACTTCCGGTCCCGGGGCTCGGGAAGGACGTCGGCGTCGCGGCGCTTCCGATCCCGGGCCGCGAAGAATGGATGCAGTTCCTGAAATAAGGACGCCTCGGGAGATCCGGCTTGTAGCGGATACTCCATTACTCCGTCACTCCGCGACTCCGTCCTCCATTTTCCGACGCCGACGCCGACGCGCGTCGACGCCCGCACCTTTGTCCCCCGACGTCGTTTCGCGCTTTCCCGAATTTCCAGGGAGAGAAAAATGGAAGGAAAAACACCGAAAACAACGGGATTCGCAAGACAGGAACTAATTGTCGCCATCCGACGTCGAAGAGCGTCTCGACTAACGACGTCGCGACGACAAAGGGCGACGGAAAAGGAAATGGATTAAAAATGATAAAACGTCATTTTTATAATACGTCCATTCAATGGATTTTAATTTTTTTAAAATTACCGTCGCTTTCAGAAAGTAACAATTTACCTAAAGAGGGTTCGAGAGTACCGAACGATCGATCGACGTGTACTGCACGTGCATTAAATTGACTTGTCCCATGAAAGGGTTATCGTTATTAGTCAGAGCCGGACACGTCCTTTCCCCGTAATTTTCCAATTGGATTTCGACCATCGCGGCCAAATTGGCACCGAAAATTAGTCGCGACGCGTTTGCGTTCTTCGTTACCCATAATGCCGAGTGATTCGCGTTTCCAGCGCTAATCGTTTTTGCCAATTGACGTTTGAAGTCGTTACAAGCGAAATGCATCGAGGGCATGCTGAGAAAAAGGCATCACGGAACCAAAGAAATTTGTCGTTGATTCATAGAACAATTATTTCCCTCAAATATTTCGCGATGCACCACGAGGATGCATTTTCCAAGTTGCACCGATCTTGTTAGCGATCGACCGTTTGTCCATTCCTGGTCCAAATAACTTCCGATTATCGCGCAAGTCGCCGGACGTTTGTGCAAACGATCCAATCTATTCCGTACAACGGTCGGCCCGACGTGGTGGATATAATTTCCGTTGCAGCTTTGATGCCCGATTTATGGGCATTGTTCCCAGCGGATATGCCCGCACTAGGCATCGCACTTCGGCGGAAAAGGTGGGAACCCATTGCCGAGTTATAGGGAATTTATCTAGGGGAATTTATCGCGATAATCCGGAGTCCGCTTCCCTTGCTCAGGTAAGAGTTTCACGAGGGAGACCTCTTTGACGTCACTTTAATATCACCTTAAGGGGGGACGAATTTTGGCTTGAGGGTTGTTATTTCGGCGCGTCTCGAGGAAAGTGGCCAACAAGGTCGACAGTGAAATATGTATCGTAACGAGAAGAAGCGCCTTCGGTCCTGGGAAATCGATTTCCCCGGGAAAGGGGTTACACGCGAGAACCCTCGCTTTGTCTCGGATAGCCGATTCGCCGAAGTAACTCTGATTCCCTCGGGAAGGAATAGCCTTAAAAGAAGGAGGAATGCGTTTATCCTGTTCTCACTCGCGATAAATCACCGCTACCGGGGAGGGTCTTAACGCCGGCTTTCCGAAACTGGAACCACGGACGATTATCTCGCGGAAATGGAGCTCGTTCGTCCCGCCGCTGCCTCGCGACTGCTAACGATCGTTCGACTTAAACCAGAAAGTCCATTGACAAACTGCACCGTGCGGAAATGCGCGTAGAATCCGCATCCGGGACGAATAAAAAAAATAATCACATTTTGTATAGCCAAGCCAAGACAATAGGATAATCGACGCGCTCTTCCATTTCCACGCGACATAGAAATTCAAATAAAATAATTCCCGTGCGAATGTACGCGCTAATATACTTTCAAACTTTACTCCGTAAATATAGAGGCTACGAGGAAGTTCGCATCATCCATGAAATTTCAGTTTTTACAGGGAGAAAAAAAATTGAAACTCGAAGAAATCACAGTTTTGAAAAATAAAATTAAAAAACTATATCAATCTACTAAACTCGAGGATTTTTATCCGACCGATCAAAAGGAGGGAAATCTGTCCTTCGAATCCGCCGAGCCAGGACGAATCTCTGATTTGCCTGAAATCGGCGCGTCGATAGAAAAGGGAAATGAAATGGGAATCGGGAGGCGCGGTGTTTCCGGGCAGATGCATTATGCGCCGCTGATGAATGCAAGTTAAAGAGGTGCGAGGGCCTTGCGAGTGTTAGAGAGAAAAGCCGGGGATTAGACACAACGACGTCCCCATCGGCAGCTCGGTCACCGTAAGCGGCTTACGGAGAAAATAGAGCAAGCCGAGGCTTCGAGGACTCCTCCGGAGTTTTCCCCTCTCCCCCCGGCCCCTTCCGCGGTGGCCGAGAAAACTCCTATCACTCCGACGAGGAAAATTCATACCGCCTTAAACCGCAACCGTAACATCTTTCAAGCGACAAAATTCTCCGACGAATTGGCTGATAACGGAAATGAGTTCGAGACGTACTTAACGATCTTCCGGGACAAGGAAACCTTGCGGAGTGCCTCGAGGACGTACCGAGTGATCCGAGCTTGTACGTTGTACGTGAGACACGATTTGTCGACGCCCGAATGTAGACAGTCCCCACTCTAGATGCACATCCCGGAACATCGGGATGTCCCGAGTAATGCACCGGGGATATCACGAGCGCGCTGATGCCATCAGACCCCCCGGGAAGATTAATGACGGGAAGAGTATGCACTCCGGAAGGCGAACGTCTTGAACCGTACCGATCCACCTGTCGTACGGTCGCGTAAGATCACGGCAAAAATTTATCTTGACTTTTAAACACCGACATCGAATCGAATAGGTAGAAATGGGAAGATTGGTATAAATTGGAAAAATTGTGAAAATGGGGAAAATGGGAAAACAGCAGAGGGAGCGCATTAGGAGCCGACCAGCCAATTTAGGGGCGTCGCCATCGGCGAGGGGATACACGCGTCCACGTTTGCTCTCCCTGCATATTCATGGACGTCAGACGGGCAATCCGGCGCGTTTTAATACTGCCGATGGTTAGATCCACTTTAATTCGAGCCAGGATGGAATTAAAGCCATCGGCATCCCTCGTCTCCGCGATTCCCGCCCTTCGCCGGATGCCGCGTCATCCCACGCTCAGGAACGCGAATAAAAACGCGAAAAACGCACTCTGACCTTGAATCCCAGGAACCCCCCAACGAATCCGTCAGAAGGAAAAAAGACGCGAAAACGAGGGAGGCTTTCCATCCATTCGGTGGATCCACCCTTGTATCATGGAGGATGTCGCGGGGACGTACAAACACCCCTTAATAGAGTCCCCGTGAATTTGGACGCGTATTTTGTTTAATGAAATATGAAATATAAAAGAGGTCTTTATGAGACTTTTCTCCGATGCCACTTTCGCATCCCCTTAATTCACCCAACGAATCTAAAGCCATTTTTAAAAAAGACTCCCCGCAATTTCGGCCCTAAAAAAAGTGAGGGGGCAACGCACAAAAAACCTCCCCCAATTATCTGCCGCGCCTCGCGGGGGAATCGCAAGCGCGCCTGTTCTATGCGGTTGGCGATTTCGAAAAAAAATAAAATAAAATGGTAAAAATAGAGGAAATGAAAAGAGAGAGAAATGGGGAAAAACAAAAATCTGGGAATATCCAGCTTTCAGAAAACTCGCACGCCCGACCAGAGGCATCTCTTCCAACGTTTGGGGCTGCGCGTTATTACGCTACCAGACATTTCCAAAAGCGAGGAGAATTTTTTTTGTTGTTCTCCTTTGCATTTCCCAGATAAAAAGCATCACTTCGACGAGGGGGAAAAAAAAAGGCCGTCGTGAAAGGGTAAACATTGAACCGCCTCTCATGAACTTCCTATGTGTGGACCTCATTCCCAGAAAAAAGCGAACCATTCTTTCGGGATTTTTGGGAGAACTTGCAGAATGGAGAAAGGGAGAATATACTCGTCCCCTTTTTGGGGGGCGAAAATTGTGCATCTTTATTTTAACACCATCTTACCTCCACGTTGCTAGCTAGCCCACAAAACAGCGAAATTCCTCGACTCCTCCGGCTCTCTTGTGTGGTGCTCTTCAACGGGCCCTCCAAGATCACTGACGGACGCGAATCTTGACGAATCCGCCGTTTGTTCTTTTTTTTTTATTTCGAGTGTCTCGCGTGGTGCTCCTCGACCTCTTCGAGATCACGATCGGACCCGAACCTGACCAATTTTGCCGTTTGGTTTTTTTGTGATTTCGGGAAATCTCGCGAATCCTCCCAGAGAGAAGATCCCAGCGGCAAAAGTTCAACTCGGCCAGCGACTTCTCCCTATATCCACGATCTTCCCCCCAGAAACGTTGAGCCGCTCTTGTATTATCGTACCGAAATTCTAGCTTGAACAATTAGTGACTTAAGTGGCTCGCCTGGAAATCAGCTGCGACCCCGGAATTTTTAGACCGCGTTTGTACCATTCTACCGAGATTTTAGTACCAGGGAATATTCGACTGGAGTGGCTCGAAATTAACCCCTTGAAATTTCAAACTCTATTGCCGTACTGAAATTCGAAACCGGGAGCAACAATTCGGCCTGACCGACTCGGCTCGAAGAACAAACGGCGGGTCCGAGAATTCTTTCGCCTTTTCGGCTCCCCTCGTCTCACTCGCGAGCGATCGGCGTTTCGCTTCCGGCTCCCCTCGTATCGTCGCGTCGAAACAACTATCGGGACGAATCGGCGGACACTGAGAGAGAGACACGCCACGAAGCCCGAGGAACGAAACGAAGAACGCTGGAGAGGGCGGGCTCGAGGGGCGCCTGCGCCCCAAATCTTCCGGAGGCACATGCCCCACCGCCTACAAGCCCCGCACACTTCCGCGTCCCTTTTCCCTCGGCCCGCCTCGATCAGCGGCTTATTTTCGGCATAAAGATACCCTCAAAGATGATAACCGCCTCCTACAGGCCCCGGATGCGCTTCCGCACAAATTTCGGGCTCGGCCGAATTATCGTAAGGGAAAATCTTCTCCGGAACTGCGAGTCCCGCCTTCGAAAAGGTTGGGCATCTCGATGAAACGAATAAAACGTATTTCTAAAATGACGACGATTGCCAGGAATATCGCTCGATTCGTCCGAAATAGCCGGAGGGGTCGCGGAATCTATTAAATGAATTTTAAACGAGAGCATCGGTCCACATTCGGCCGGAAATTATCGTGGGAATGGCAAGCGGGGTGAACCTCAGGCGTCTCGGTCCTCTCCAATTCAATTCCATGGTTTAACCGGACGGTTAACTTCATGGCGAAATATGAAAGCTCAAATATGCCGCCTCGTCCGCTCATTCTCGATTCACGAGGTCCGAAACTCAATTTTTAAACGGGATCGCGTCCACGGGTGGCGCAGTTCTTTCGCACTTCTCTCTTTTTTTTTTTAATATGAATATTAACGAAACGTCACTTTCCATCCCGCGCCCATTCCCGCCATTAAATTACACCCTGTAACGACCCTCCACCTAGTAACTTAACCTAAGACTAGGTATCCCTAAAAAATGTGCAGGATCGATATGTATATATCAAAGGGGCGAGTTAGTCGGTGCCCCGGCGACGAGTCGGGAGATAAAAAGGAAATTGAAAAGGGGGATGAAAAAAGAAAGGAGAGGGAAAGCGTGCGTACAGCGAAGAGTACCAACCTCACCGTCGCCATCGTAGTAGACGAGGTGGCGGCGCGTCAGGACGAACCAGCGTTGCTTGTAATTAATCGGCGTGAACCGCTTCTTATTTTGGGACCTCTTCACCATGAATCCTTGTCGCACCACGTCCACTCCCCCGGGCTCCACCTTCCCGTCCTTCCCCGCCATCTCCACGGGGCCTGGAACCAAAATACCGACTCGGTTAGCTTCCAAAAAATAACCAAAAGGAAAAAAGAATAATCTACTCGCAATAATTCCCACGGTTGAAAGAAGTCATTGATTTGAAAAGAAAAAATTGAAGAATCGCCAGGACGTCTCTAAAGGATTATTCCAGGGACCTCGTAATTCCCGTCTTGGCTCTCGAGTTAATTTCTGCGATTATTCGTCCCATTCCGGGGAAAGGAAGAGATCCTCGTCGCGTTTTGCGGTCGCCGATTAGATGGTAGAATACGCGATATTATTCCACTTACAGAGGAGGAACGCCGAGGAGAGAATTTCCGCGGCAATAACGTAGGGATGGAAATTACGGTCGCTTTTCGGAGAAATTTCCAAATTCCACGGGAAAATCTAGGTGTGATTACTTTGCCGCGACAAGGAACGATTTTTCGAACCTTGTCCCGTTGTAGGTGCACCCGCCGACTTGTAATTTTCACGCTAATAAATAGTCCATTTAACGTCCAATGCAGGAGAGCTCGTTCCCTGCGGTTGGGAGCCGGTAATGGACTGTAACTTCGTTACAATGTTGTAATTGTAAAAGATTTTAACGATCCGCGGTTGGAAGGGAGGCCTGCTTTCATCCGAGAGTCGACGAACGTATACGAGTCTCGTTTTCAAAACATATACTAAATCGTCCTTGGGCCAGGATTCTCTTTCCGCCGGCGCTTCGAGCCGAAACGAATTCACGTCGTACAACGTGTCCCACTAATTGAAACGAGGTTAACCGCGATAAACATAATCAAGATGAAGATATTAACGCGACCGGTATTATACAGGGCGGACAAAGATCGCTCAATTACCCATGCGTCCTTAGGGCCGTTCACGCCGAGTTAAAATCCTTAACCAAAGATTAACGCGCGATTGATCACCCACCTTCAAATGTAATTTTAGGTTAACCTAACTTTTGTCGACGCAACATGAATTGCACTAATTCAAGATCAACTAATCGTGGTTAAGAAATCTCCCGTTAATCACGGGTGGGGCAATCGGCCCTTAACCTCACATTTGGTTAATGTCGCGTCGGTTACATTCAAATATCGTGTATACTTGCTTAAGCCTACCACTTCCGCTTTCCTTTCGTGATATATACCGAGAAATGTATGCAAAGATCACTCTTATATCATAACTTAAATCAGAACTCACGTTTGGCTAAAGTAAATTAACTTCGAGCACCCTAAAGAAACGTTGGAATTCGACCATGGCGCGACTTCGTCTAAATACCCGTTAGTCCCAGCCACTTCCGCTTTCTCCATCCCCATTCGACGGAATGAAAAATGACCAACTTACATCTCGGACGCACCTTTACGCAACTCGCATCCGGGCATTCTCGACGTCGTCCGAAAAGCCGGGTCCGGCACCTCGCGGCGGGCCGGCGGCGCAAAATCGCACTGAAGATTTTTGCGGCGTCGGCGGGGAAGAGGAGGAGGAGGAGGAGGAAGGGGGAGGCGGCCGGTCTAGGTCTCTCGCGTTCATTGCCGGTCGGGAGTCGCGGGCCGCGGGGCCGCGTTCGGTCGGGAGCTGGTGCCCCGGCCGGGCCGGACCTCGAGCAGCCCGACGGGTCGTGGCCGACTTTCAAGGTCGGTGGTTTGTAGGTAGTGGTGCGGGCCCTCGGCGCGTCCGTGTGGCCGCGGCGGCGGCGGCGGCGGCGCGCGTGCACCGCTCGGCATTCGCGACACGCGCGACGGAGCGAGCGCGGGCCGCGCGTCCGGCCCGCGTCTCAATGCCGGGTGTACTCACCATGCAGCGGGAGTGGTCAGCACCCCGGGCGCGGCCTAATCCTCCGCGTAGACATCACCGGCGCGCTCGGCAAAAATTCACGTGGAACGAACGCATACACACGCGGCCGATCTGTCAAACGGGGAGACGTCGGAAATTCCCGAGACAGCAGGAAGCGCGCGACGGCGCTGGTCAAGTCGAGACCCGTATATAAGGATACTCACGGATTGCCGATAGACCGCGGAATGTCGCGACTGGAGGATCGTCGTGTAAATTAATTTTAGGAATTTTAGGCAGGAGCACGAGTGGAGATGTGGCTTTTCTGGAAATCGCGGGTTTTCGAGGAGGAGTTATTTGGATGCTGGAGGTCGGCGAGCAAGATGGCGGTGCTCGGGGATGCCGCGCCATGCCTGTTGTTTTGTTTTCGTTCGGTGGGTATTGACCTTCGTTAAGGGCTACGCGTGTTTCGCTCGAATAGGTAGCTTCGGTTCTGATTTATTCCCCGGAAGAGAGGATCCTGATCGTTGGCGGGTCGGAGGTTGAGGAAGGCGTGAATTTCGATACTTCTAACCTAACATTTGTGGGGAAAAGGCTCGAACGTGGGGAAGCTTCACAGGGGGATGGGGTTTTAAATTCGAGACATTTTCGGATTCAAGAGTTCGGTAGTGAGTCACGGCTGGTGACTTACGATATTTAATTGGAGGGAGAGGAAAGGTTCTCAATGAGTCACCTATAGAGCAGGTAAGTTGGAATCGTAGCGTTGTGTCTGTGGTAATCTTTCCAGGTGTATATTAAAATTAACGTGGATACGTATTTAACCAGCTAGAGATATGGCAGCTCCCGAAGCGATACAAGTCAGCTCGTTGCCCCTGCCCCCGGTGCAGTACATTAATTTATATACCGATGAAAATGTTCGTCGAGGCAGGGCACCGAGACCACCTCCACCGATCCATGACACCTACTCTATGTTTGGAAATGTATTCAATGCAGACGACACGATCATTCGACCCCTCGAAGCACAGGGTATTAAAAGACTGTACCCGCAGCATTTCGATCGGCGAAGGGAATTGAAGAAACTCAACCACTCGTTGCTGGTCAATTTTCTGGATCTTATAGATCTGCTGGTGCAATGTCCCGATAGTCCCAGACGAGCGGAAAAGGTTCAGAAACTATATATTAATAAACACAAAGTGGGTGCCTGATCAGAAAATAATATATCATGTATTTCAGGTAGAAGATCTAAGTTTACTATTTATTCACATTCATCATTTATTGAATGAGTTCAGACCTCATCAAGCACGGGAAACGTTACGAGTGATGATGGAGCTACAGCGCAGACAAAGAACAGAGACAGCGCTTCGATTTCAAAAACATCTTGAAAAGGTTCGACCATACAATAGTAAATTGTTTAATCTATAACATATGTAACACGTTTTAAAAGAAATCACCTCATACTACTGTGTTCTGAAAAATTGTTTTCTTATTAAATCATAGCGTACAAGTGTAATTCTCTTCTAAATTCACGATCATGGATTTTTTTTTAAGAAATTCTTTTTCTACATTTACAGGTTCAAGAAATACTTCAACATGCGTTGCAAATGCTGCCAGACACTTCGGAATTGGATTCAAAGCTAGCAATAAACACAGATGCCATGGAATCAATGGACACAATGGGTTTTGAGCAACAAGCCTTGGACCCGTGTAGTCAAAGTGATCGCATAATGTGTAATATCATAGACGAGATGACAGCGTCTAATGGATTATTCTAATCTGTTAATCAAAATGTCTGTGTTCTATGTAATATCTTTTATTTTTAAGTCGCATGTTGTAGATGAGTACTGTACTATACTACAGTATGTGTGTAATGTGTAGAGTACTGTACTATAATAAATGTGCTGTCACGTTTTGCAAACATTATCGATGTTTATCCTATTGTGAAATGTTTGCTTACTCAATTCTAGTGAAATCCCTCTTTAAAAAGTCGTCTTCCGTTAGTAACTTCGTTTTACATTAGTTTTTAACAAATTAGATCACTTCGTTTTCTATTTTACTTTAACTCTCTCAAACTTACCATTAAAATACTAAATACTAATCTACATTTGTCAAATAAAGAAACGATTAGTGCAATTCAGTGAAATTACTTTTTATTAAAATAATAATCGAGATGTCTCTTTTTTTACGTCACTACAAAATAACATGAGATTTATATTTGCATCGGATGGTGTAGGTCAGGGTGAGGATGATGGGATTATAAGGCTGCATTATAATTTATTACTATAAACTATAACTCACCTCAAAATTAACAGCTACCATCACACACAAATACAAAAGAATCTAGTCACCCCACACAGCTCCATCTGAAAATAATCTTTGCATGTTAGAACTTAATCCATGTCACTGCCCTCGAACTGCAGAAATAATCTGAAACAGAAATTGCATTAATCTGTCTCTGATCCGTCCTGTTACGTTAACTGCGATGCCTGAAATGTCTCCACCTAAAAATAAGGAAAACAAATAAAAGCAATGTTCAATACAAATTAAGTAATCAAAGAAACTCTTCGGTCTTGGGAAATATTTTGAAAGAAAAGGAGGAAATTATACTTTGTAATGGTATTATAAAAAATGTAGAGAACTTGGTGAATCATCATACAATATTTAATGTATCTTGTACTCAGTATCCAAGAATATTATACCATGTAAAAAATGTCAGGACTTATGGTGAAAGTAGTTTAGAGAAGTGATCGCTTTGATGAAGATGTACTTTGAAATTAAGACAAAGAAAACGTATTAGCTGAAAGCTTGAATAATCAGTGAATTTCAAATGGTAAAAACAGTCACTCCCGAAAGAAGACATTTCTTTGATTACATAGTTATAAAAAATATATCAGCAAGTTTCGTCAGGCCGATAGATGAAGACTGCAGAAAGCTCTCCTTCCCTGTTGATACAAAACGGATGTGAAGAGGAACCGAGATTGGGGAAGAGGCTACTTTGGAATTGGAAGGGGTGAGAATACTTTGACAATGTATCTTGATGTTAAGATACTCTCAAGAATGAGTAATTTTAACCGTTGGCTATTTAACTTTTGCAGGCGAATGGGCGAAATCGTAGTCTTCGTAGTGATGGGAAATTTCATCAATTGGGGTTCTTATAACTTCCAATCATCGATGACGTCTTATACACTGCAGCTTTAGACGTGGATACATGCTGAGCAATGATGCAGTCATTTTTGATTCTTCCCATGCAATGGTTCCCATTTTTTGAGTAATTAAATTGTTTCTTCCATGTTTTCTTTCATATATTCTTCTTCCAATTCCACTGAATCACTCTGATTTTGTCCCACTCAATTACCATACATAACGTCACAAGGGTAACGTTTTAAATGGTGTTCGCTGAATGTCTCAGTTTCTCACTGACACTAATAGTAATCGTGTATTAAACTTGATAGTCTGATTATTATGCAGTTAATTGTTTTTACATTCTGGCAGAGTACAGGATGATATAACACTCGTTTGTCGCTGTGGTGAGTTAACAAAATCTCATTGGAATTACTGTTATCAATAAACGTATTTCTTGAAGCATCCACGTTCAATGTCCCATGTGTATATCTTCTTGTATCCTCTTCTGCTTTCTTCCTTATGTGTCGTTCTTATGCCGTGACTATTTTTAACTCCATAGTCCTACATAGTCTTGTGTTTCCAGTCTCGATAATGCTTCATATCCTCATTGAACTCATGTAGTATGCTTTCTTGTTCAGTCAACATTTGGCAGCACCAACTTGTGTTGTATTCATAACTCACATTTTTTTTCACACTCAAAGAAACTTTAGATTTTAATTTAAAAAAAGAACAATTATAAATAAACAATACGAGTTAGTTGTTTTTGCAATCCTACCGGTTGCGTGGTACAACGTTCCGTTGTCGCGAGTTAAGGAAAGTCTTCGCAAAGCACGATTCGAAATCTTTACATAAGATTATCGCACTGTCCTTTTGAGAAGCTTCAGTTTCTGTGTCACTCGTGTATTCACATGCTGGAAAAACTACACGTTATACGCTTCCGAGACTTTGTTTTGCAGTTCTTGTATGTTGCTACTTTTGTGACGTTAATTGTAGCCTCCGTACATTAATATGTATTCTTCCTCCAAGCTCCACGACCCCGGGGTCTGAAACCTCCTCGACCACCTGATCGATTACCTCTAAAGCGACCACGGTTACCTGCAAAACAGAAAAAACCAACCGTTACACAAAAAATATATATTAAAAGTATAATCATGTAAGTAAATAAAAATTTGAAAAAAAAAGTTACCATAATTCTGGGAAATGTTTGAACTGTATTTTCCACTTGGTGGAGTATAGATTTCTCTTTTGTTACTTCTTGCAGAATTTGTATCATCTTTATTACGCTTGTTTGATGTACTGTCATTACCAAATGTAATCGGTGTATGTCGCTTGGGAGCAACGGTTGCTTTTTCCAAAGGCTGAAAACAAGATTGCACTTAATTCTAATGTCCATGATGTACACAATAATTTTTTACGAAAACAAAAATCGATTTATCTGGTTTACTTTTACTGATTTGATATTGTAATCCATTACCTTCTTGCCATTTGTCGGAGTCTTCCAAGATAAATGTATAATGCTCTTAAAACTGGGTGGTGAATGGAACAGATCTTTAATCAATGTATTAATGTTATTTGTTGTTTTGAGTGCAATAACTTTCAGCTGGTTTTCCTCAGACTTCAGTTCATCTTCGGTCTTCCCACTTATTGCTTCCCTAAGTTTCTTTATGTAGCCCTGAATCCCACGTGCAAAGTATTGTAACCTCAGACGGAACTCTTTAAGCTGATCCGCATCCCTTGTCAGAAATTCTGGTATTTGTTTACACAACTTGTGAAATGCATACATCAAACATTCCACATGGCTAAATTGTAACTTCGGAACCTCTGTCACCTCGACAGCTGGAGGAAGTGGCATGTATGTCTGTTCAAGTATAAAATTACTTAATAATATAAAACTACTTGTAAATGTAGACACGAATAACTAAACGGTCGGAATGGTCAACTTACGATAAGAGTATTATATAGTTGTTGTACTTTCTCTTCGGGCTTCTCTATGCTTCCACAAAATACAGCTAATTCCGCAAGAAGTTTTAAGAGTTCCAATTGAACGTCTCTGCCATCGGGTGAAGTTATCAAAGACAAATGTGGTAACACCTGTACACATATGTACGACACGAACTTTGAAGAATCTATATGAGACTGCAACGAAAGAAAAGATATTAAATTACTTGTCTTATAAGCAGTGAAATATATCTAACACGAATAGGTTAATTTTAATACACACGTTAAAAAATGGAAGAGCATGTTTGACACATTGTACGAGCCTATTCCATTGTTCCATATTAGTATGCTTAAACGGAATGGACAGTTCGGCTTGATCTATTGCTATGTCCACTAACTCTTGTTGTCCAGTGAGTGTCGATCCTAATCTGGTCCATGCGAGAACCTCCATAATGTTATGAAATTCATCAGCTGTCACATCCTGTAAAGCAAGTAATATTTAATATCTTATTTTTTCTATTAAAAAAAAAAGTAATGCAAGAGATAGGAAGTTACCTGTAAAACCTTTTTACATTCTACAATAAGCAAATCTTCAGGTTCTTTTGTGATGACGTCTCGACCTATTGCTTTCAATTTAGTTGCTAAGAATTTAATGCAGCGTTCTCTTGTACCGTCATCTCCACTAAGTATTTGACTGAAGAAACCACTCAGAGTTCCTACATTTAAGAATTGATATAATTGGATTTATTATTTCTGTATGCTTATGTTTTGGTATTAATAGCACATTATGTACTAAAAAAACATAATAGATAAAAAGTACTAAAGGTAAACCTTTCGGATCATTTTTCAGAAGCGTCATAATACTATTATGAACAACAGCCAATTCCGATGAATCCTGAGCTTGCAGGAGTTGCGCAAGAATGTCTGCAATCCTTGGTGTATGCTCTTTGCTATCTTTACACAATGCCGGTAAGTCTTTTATAGCTTGTTTTCTTATCTATAAATTACATTTATATTTTCTTAAACAATTCCATCATAGAAAATATACTAACTTGTTAAAATAATATTCAACATAAAAGCTGCAAAAGATTTTACTGACCGCCATGTCTTCATCCTCGCAAAGATCCAAATGAGCATCGATCGCGCGATCGGCTAGTTTTGGAAAATGTTTAAAAAATCGGGCAATGAATTGAGAAGCTAAACGTTTCTCCTTTGGTGACCCTTTAACTGCAGTCAGAATTTCTAGATATTCTTTCTCATGCTGAAAATTAATATCTTGTATGAATTCTCATAGTGGACATATGATTTCAAATGAAGTTACATTTATAATGCAGAATGCCCTACAGTTCATAAATAATTCTGTTACAACTGTATCATAACGTCAAAATCTTTTTTTTTAATCTAAATCAACCACTGATAACGTATTCATTCAAACGTACAACTATCCATATTTCATCCAAAGTCACTAGATATCGAGAGTTCTTTCACGTTCCTAATCCTCTAAAGCAAAACTAGAGCATGTATAAATAATTTGTAAATTACTGCTGCAATATTGTTTATAACTGGGCCATTAGATGCTACAAGTTTAGAAAGTAAAGTGAATGCACAGCTATAATCAATTTGTTGCCTACCTCCGCGAGCTTGTCCTTTGCGTCCGCCAGAACCCCAAAATTTTTATACAACTTTTCGATACTATCGGTACTCATATTGTGTAATAAAGTAAATCGCTATGTTTTGAAATTCGCGATTCGTTGGTGAGACGGAACATAAACTCTTTTTCCGGAGGAAATTCAGATTCGCCTATAATACACCGGTAACGCACCACGCTAGGAAACGGTAAGATATGGCGGTCGTCCCAGCCGTCTCGGGCAGTCCCGAGAAAGGCGCCCATAGAAAATAATATAGCGATGAGTGGAGAGACTCTCTATGGGCTGGCTCGCGCGAATGCGTTTGCGCTGCCCTCGGTGGAGAATACAGGAGGTTCGGGCATTGCGATCCGATATCCCCCAACGACGGCCCATCTCGGTAACCCACGTTATCTATGCATCCTTCTCTCGGCTCTTCGGGCCTCGATCGTTGGATTTTTCCAGACGGCTCAGGTAGCGAGACCCTTAGATCACGAGCATGCGCGAGTCGGCAGCATGACGTAGAACGGGGTTTCGACTAATCTGAAAGCCCGGGGTCGCGGCCTGGTACGACGGACCAGCAGTTGCCCCGCACAAGCCACGGTGGTAAGACGCCGTGAGCAATTTAGCGAATGGTGCGGGGCATATGACATGCTATATTCCAAATTCATACCAACGTGGCTCAATAATTCTCGATTGACGGCATGCAGATCAATAAACATTTTTTAACACTTGGCATGCAAGTGTTCTTCGCCGCCAACTTACGCGTGCAGCGGGCGTTTTTTCGTGAACCCTTTCATATCTCCTTAATATCCGAGAATGTTCATGGATTTTCATGAATTCACATTTTTCCATCTCGAAGTATTCCTTTAATCTCGGACTTTCGGGAATAGCTCTTCCTCGGAGAAATATCTACCTGTCTCGGTTTCAAGGTATTACCGCAAATCGACGTGAAATCGTTCCATCGAGTATCGATAAAGTCTGCAAACGTAATCCCACATATTACGTACGTACCAGAGTAGGTACTGCACCTTCCCTCGGTACATCGGATCTGAATGTGTCGATATAAACGCGGCTGGGATTAATATTAAAAAAATTGGAAAATTTAAAAAAAAATGAGGACCAAGATCGACACAAATTTCTAACATGTATTACAAATTTCTTACACGTACGTACTAAATTTCTAACACATGTTGTACATTTTATTAGAAGATATGTCATGAAATTAGTGCATGATGTATGAATGAAAGTTCCAGAAACGTTATGAAATTATGATTTTTTTTTTTTTTAACAGTGTGGGGTATGAGAGATGATAATCGGGTCGGCGTATCGAGCTAGGGGAACCTTTCTCCAGGCAAATTGGCGTGGATTCGTGGAAGTCCCTAGGCAATTTTTCTGGGGCTTTCTGGGGACGCCGAGTCACGTCTCGCGACGCCGGGGCGACTCTTTGAGACGCCCCGCGACGTCGCGCGACGTCGCTCGTCGATCCGACGTGAGGTCGGGGCGTCGCGATTAATGTCGCCCCTCGGAAAAGGGGCCCTTTACTCGCTCGCTCGAGCCCTCGATTCGTTTCCCCTCGACGACAAACGACGACGTCGCCTTCCGCTCGATGCCTTTCAGCTCGGAACCGCGAAACGATCGACCGGAAGACACGCGGTTTGGGGTTCCCCTAAATCCGGCCAATGAGGAACGACCTGCGATTTTGTACCGTGATATGTACTTTTGTACTATCGGGTTGCTCCATTTGTTGTTAAGGGTGAATTCTATTTGCAACGAATTTAGAGGGATCAGCATGCTGATATGAATTAGGGACGACTTGCGGGGATATACACGTTTTAGATTGCTCCATTTTTTGTTGTGGACAAATTCTGTTTGCAACAAATTTATAGGTCTTGTCACGCTGACATAATCGAAATAATCGTAACAAAATAGAAGTAATACGTAAAACACCTAACAATATTTCGGCAGGAACTTTGAAAATGCAAGGAATCCTAAAATTGGCGAAATTGTTTACGTTGCCATAGATCTGTCACTTTCAGGGCACATGGGAAGCATTAAAGAAGTAATTCTAAAATCCCAAAGTGAAGTCCCGTGAATGAATCGTAAAGCAAAAAATAGTGACACGTAAAACACCTTACAGTTTCCCGGGAGGAAATTTCTGAATTGCGAGAGAATTGCTCCCTTTCGGGCCATCCACTTGGCATCAGCAGTCTCTCCCAGCATCGAGGTTACAAGATTGCTGGCCTCTTCGGCTCTGATTGCGAGGCATTCAGGTCCTGGGAGTAAAAACTGAAAAATCTACATGACACCATCCCTGAAAACCCCTCGCCATTCCGTTTTCCCCGTAAACGGTACGTGTGGCGATCGCTGAATGCACCCTTTGACACGGGGTGGACGGAAGCTGTAAAAGCCGGCCAGCCCCAGAAACCACGTCCCCAGGGATTTATTCCATCATCCAGGGCGATCCCGGAAGTTCTCCCGAACGTCCTCATAAGAATAAATAAGGGTAGCAAAAGGGAGGGCCAGGTTTGTGGGGGATGGGGCTTAAACGCGATCGTGCGAGTCAACCAGCTCCCCTGCACTTCTGGGGTGCACACGAGTGCACCCCTCCACCCATTCGGCCAGAAGTGCACTCACCCCGTGCACTCTGAGAATGCCGCCATTAGAATTCCCGTCAGCTCCGAAACGGTGGAGATTTTCGGTATCTTCCCAGGGAAGGCAACCCCTCTGCCCGCAAACTCGACCAGCACATTCGGGCCAATGCATGCACGTACTCTGGCTTAGATGAAAATAAATAAAACCCCCGGTAAAAAGTATCCGACGTCGATTACTATCGGTTCCCCCCTGGGGCGATGTGCCCCCCCATCCGGGAGTTCGCACCCCTCCCAGACGAGAGGTGAGCATCCCTGCGTCACGTGCATCGCCAGGACGCACGTTCGGTGCAGTCTCGTTTCCTTCGTAACGGGGTGGAAACGAGGTTGGGAGGGTGGAAAGTGGGTGGTGAGCCCGAGAAAAGGGAAGAAAATTCCTGGCCCCGGGTGGGGAGGAAATCGGAAGGGCAGATAAAGTGGGCGGAACAGGTGGGTGGCGGCAAACCACCCACCGAGAGACACCTTCGACGGAGCTTCTGGTGGATGGTGATGGTGGGTGGAGGGGGTGTGACGCGAACAAAGCTCACAATTTCGCGTCTCTTCCCAGCCATTCCCGCCCATCCCTTATATCCCACCCTGCTGCTGGTGTTAAGGGAAATAAGGGGTCTTGTCACTTACACGTTGATGGCGCCCGACGCGAGCGGTTTCACGGGGGGTGTTCCTCTATTTACTGCACCCTGGTGGGATTACTCCCCGTACCTGCAGAGATATTTGAATCCGCGACCAACGAAGGGTAGATCGGCCCTAGTTCTACCCCAGATGTAAACGGCAGGCCTTCTTTCTTGTATGACGTGCATCTTCCTGACGCGTGTTCGATGTCTGCTCTTCTTCGGGAGGGATGAAACTCCAGGGAGCGGAAACTTAAAACAAAAGGGAAGACAGGAGGGAAACTTATTCCGGGGAGGGAAACTGCCGGGAAATTTCTGGGGAGGTCGGAGGGTCGGTTATGGGGTTGGAACAGGTGGAGGGTGGGAAGATAAACCTCTGCATAAGGTGCCTTCGATACAGCTTGTCCGGAACTTTTTCTTACCCGAAGGAAGATCCCAATTTCGAGTCACTCTTCCTAGTCATCTGCATTTCTTTTTTATCACCCTCCTGCTTTTATGAAGCACGGAAGATTTGCCTGTTACCTCCTTGGACTTGAATTGACGTTACGTGGAATGTTCATTTTCAAATCGACTTTCCTCGTCATATGATGATCATGAATTTCTGTTTGGGTCAGTATGAGGTATTTGCCGACCACTTCCGTCGCTATGGGAAATAAGGAGACTGTCTCGTCAGCTAGTCAATGTCCTGGAACGTGGAACCTCTTCCTTCAGGACGCTTTCAGGTTCCCGAAGGCTGGACGGGATCTCTCCAGGATCCGCTGGGGATATCTGTCTTTTCGTCCAGCGAAGGGTGGATCGACGTCGGGAAATTTATTCCAGGACTTCTCGTTCGGTCCCGAGGGATACGGGCAGTCCTCTTTTAAGATTCAACCGCGAAATAAAATCCGTTTCCACGATAAGAGTCGCTCTCGGAAGAGATGTCGGACGAGCCGGAATAGCTCGGTGGTTCCTCTCGAGGGAAAGAAGTACTGCAAGGTTCCAAGAAACACAATGGCAGTGTCTCCAAGGACTTTAAATCGTTAGTACGTATGCGAGTGGTCGACTTTCTACAGGCAGAAGATTTCTCATTCTATGCTTCTAGTCACAACCAGTACCACGTGGTTCCCAGTGAGACATAACCTAAGTGGAGTAGCGTTTCAGCTGACTACGTTGATAGCGGAATCAAGTTAACCTCAAAAAGTAACATTTGTTCTAAACGAGATACCTACAGAATAGAAACCAGGGCATTGAAGAGATTACACCCAAGACAACAAACAAAACAACACAACAACATATTAAGACCCACGCGGTAACTCAGCGTCACCACACAAAGCAACAACCTTCTTAAGTGACCGACGGGAATCCCTTACCGGCAGTAGAATCTTTAAATTGACTCCCTGGATAGTAAATTAATCACAGTAGCTGATGCTGCATCAGCAGAATAAATGCAAGAAGTGTGTGCACCTGCATTGGGGAGAAATTTCAAGGGGAACACAAAGGACCTATGCAAATTCGGGTTGCTATCGTGTGATCCTAGAGATGAGTTTAGTAACGCATTCGTCAACTCAACCATCGTTTGCTCTGAAGATCCAATCTAAAATGCGATCAGGAATTCAAGGGGGCTTGTGTCGGTCTCCGCAAGTCTCTTTGCCAACGTGCCAGACATCCTGGAGGATACATCCGCAGTACACGCGTTGGCGAGCTCCGTGAATCCTGGATGCGAGGATCCGAGCCCGAAGCTGCACCTCCTGCATGTGCAGCTCTGCACGTGTGGGGCTCTTCCTCCGCGTCGTTATGTATGCACGTGCAAACAAGCCTCCCAAATAAAGCTGGATTCGCGAATCTGGGCGCCACTACGTGTACCTAGGTGTCCGCAGATGCTCGAGACCAAATCTGCAGCGATAACTGCACCTGCGTGTTCAGTTGACTAGGAAGTGACTGACTTGGATGAACTCTGTATGGTGATGATCATCAAAATTAACTTCATCCTGATCT